AGCTTTTAACCCTCTGAGGGCTGATAAGACACTCAGCTGAGGGGAAAATAGGTGTGAATGAGATCTCAGACACACAGATAACCAAAGTGCTACAGACGGGGCATTGTATTAAGCAATAAAAAAGCAGCTCATCTATATGTACAGATGCACTGGTTTAGTGTGCGTATGTGTGTGTTTGTGTAACGCAGCAGGGTTTTCCGCTTAACGATCCTCTTTATCATTCAGATATCAATCCTTCACTAAGCACTGACATTTGCACACTTAAGCAGCTCCACTTCACTATTGTATACACACATAATTTTACACACACATACACACAAACACTTTAAGACAATAAGCTGGGCATCAGTGTGTGAAATTCCCTCCGGACGGTGACACGTGAGAGAGACGAGCAGTGGAATAATCCCTGTCATCTATCCCAGATCCTGAGAGTCGTCGGGGGAAAGCGCGGCTGCCTGCCGTGCTCCCTTCTCTCTCCGCCGGAATCTCTCCCTAGCAACCAGGCACTAGTGTGGTGATTGGACCAGCGTACCAGCGGTTGCTATAGCTACAGGAAGCTCCCCATCCCTGTCAGCCCCCACTTTTTTCCTGTGATGTGTCTCTTTTTCCGTTTCTCCTCATAACCTCTCTTTGTATTTCTCTTTATCCCTCTCGCTATTTGTCTTTTCCTCTCCCTCCTTCCCCTCTCAGCCTTTCCCATCAGAGAAAAGAACAGTAGGTTGATGTTATTGACACGGAGGTTCAGTGTTGGGGGGCTAATGGCCTCCAAAAGGAGGCTGAACTGACTTGAAACAGGTCTGCAGAGAACAAGAGAAAGATACTGCAATTTTACAAAAGCCATGGTGAGAATACCTGCTCGAAATGGAGCATTAGCAGAGCAGTCAAGTATTTATCTGACCTGCCTGTGGAAATCTGCTATTCCCTTTAGCGCTTTTTTAAGAGAAAAATCTGTTTTATCTCAGACAATAAATAACTACTGGGAGCAGCCTGACAGTTAATGTGTGTATGTGTCTGCATCTGTCTCCGTCTGCGCTTGTATATTTGTTTCTGTGCCTCTGTGTCTTTTGTTAGCATGCGAGTTGGCTGCATGGGAAAACAGTACCCATTTTGCCTTTGCGTGTGATTCATGTGTGTGTTAGCCTTGCGCTCGTGCCATTGACAGGCCCCACTGTTTCTGTTGGAATCTAAGAGTGCCAATTACCCTTCAGAGGCGGAGTAAATGTGGTCACTATGTCATTAGGCCAGTATGCACGAGTCAGCCCGTCTGCTGGTAATACAACACCACATCTTCCACATCATCCATACAGTACAATCCGCTGCTACAGCATCCACATAATGCGCACACACACACACACACACACGCACACACACACAAACACATACACTCGCACTGCCTTCTCAATGTCTAGAGTTGATGCATCAGTCTGTGAGCTGGCTTCTTCTGTTTTCAGCATTTTCGTAGCGTTCGTTGTTGCTTCTTCATGCTATAATCAGCTGCTGTATAATGGGTTCAAATGAGAGGTTAAATGCACATGATTAGTGATCTGTTCCGCATCTGACTAATGCATGAGGGAGGTATTATGATAATGTGGGATCCAGAAGGCAATGTGGCTTTATAAAAATGTGGGCAAAGACAGAGGGAAGATAAAAAAGAGAACAAGGGAGAAGAAATAATGGACCGGATGGATGGATGTATTTTGACATGCTTAGTGAATGTGTGTGCTCACAAAATAACTCTACGTCTGACTGTTTAAGACTGCATGATCTATTCAAGGGGGTATAGTCAGCCCTTTCGAGGACAAATGAAGACAAGTAAAGAAGGAAAAAGAGGAGAATGAGGAAAAATGGGGGGGGGGGGTAATGATGTCATGGTTTTCCAGTGGAAATGAATGGACAAAATATCATTAGTCAAGGTCAATAACCTGCTGATTCTCTAAAAAAAAACTGTCCAACAGAGAATGAAATCAAATGTTGAAACAAGCACCAGTCACTGAGTTCATAAACACACCCGACAGATAAGGCAATTGGCTGCTGACAGTGAACTGTCACTCTGGTGCAATGGTATAATACAGTTTAGCCACTAGCCTCTAAACTGCACAGCCCGCATGCCAATGTCATCCTGTTCAAAGATGAGAAATTTATTTCATGCTTGGGTGACTGTCATCAGGAAAGAAAGGGAAAAAGAAAAAGGGAGAGAGGGAGAGATAAAGCAACAGAGAGATGGAAGGGATATATAGAAATTCAATGTTAAATCATGCTACTGCATTCATGAACTTTTCAGCCTCAGAAAATGTACACGGCAGCTAATGAAAAGCGGAAGAAAAATGCAGAGACGAGAGAATGAATGAGTTTATGAAGTTCAAAAGAACATATAACATGTTTGTGTGTGAGGGGGGTTAGACACTGAACAATAAAAGCTTTAGAAAACTGCTGGCTGTGCAGAGGCCCATACAGGACAGCATATTATGGGAAGGGATGTGGCAGAGTCTGGCCGCACAATAGTGTCCCGTTGCCTCACGGGATGTGGAGAACTCTCTGGAACATGAGAGGGGAGGGCTGTCTGATAGCTGTATTCAACATGATGGTCTTTGACAGTTTTCCATTACTGTACGGCTGTTATAAGTGAGAGGGGAAACGGAAAGGAAGGCGAGCAAGTGAGAATCCAATTGGTATTACACTCAAGTGATGATGTAATGTTTAGGCGACACAGACAGCACCCCCATCCCCCTTCTTCTTCTCTTTTCTGCTTGGTTCCTGTGTTAACCCCCCTTTTTTCTCTGGGGCACAGAACAGAGCCTCTCGATTGGTTAATGGCACAACAGAGATGCTGAGAATATCCACCAACCAGGGCCCAGGGTGTCCCTTCACACCGTTACCACAGCAACCCCTTACAACCACAGTGAGCGTGCACACATGTATGGATGTGCACGCTCATATGCCCGTGTGCATGTGTGTATGTGTGCACTGTATACATGTGTTTTCATGTGCGTGATGGCTACATGTAGGGAAGATGTGAAAACAACCCTCCAATGAACAGACTTCAGTGAGTTTATCTGCAAGCACAGCTTTGTGCTGTGCAAAAGTACACTGTAAGTGCAGCTCATACAGTAACACAACACAACTTACTCTGCTTCTTTTCCTCGACAACAGCTGCTGAAGACCTGACTTGTATAAAAAAACAGCTTTGAAAGATTGCCCAGGAAAGTACCCTACATCCATCTTCAGTCATTCTAAGCACTGACTATGAAAAGTTTTTCTTCAAACAAGTGAAAAAAGCTGCCAGCAGGATGCACTAATTCACTCATTCTGTGTACATGCATATGGGACTGAATGATTTATTAAGATGGATATTTGGAATGAAATGCAGTATATGTAAAACTGAACAGAAATAATCAGGAATAAATCTGTTCAAATAAAAATTAGAAAGTATGCCTATTTGATGAAATTTGGAATGTTATTAAACTAAAATGATTTAAATAGCCATTAAATTATTTCATTGTTTTCCGTTGACAATATGACACATCCATCCATCCATCCATCCATTCATCGTCAACCGCTTATCCTGCGTACAGGGTCGCGGGAGGCTGGAGCCAATCCCAGCTTACATTGGGCGAAAGGCAGGGTACACCCTGGACAAGTCGCCAGTCCATTGCAGGGCAGTGACAACTAACATTTTAAATTGACAGTGTTTACTGGGAACATTGTCAGGTCCTGAATATTTCCACTCAAGTGGTCAAGTAGTATACTGGTGCATTTCTCATTACCTATCTCTATTCAACTTGTGTATAGATGTTTAGTAAATCAGAGAACTATTATAGGACCGCTATAGACATAATGTTAACATAACTCAATTGATCCCATGAAAGAAAACGATTCCTGGAGAAGTGGGAAAGATGTGTTGGAAATTATGTCAGATAAGTCCATAATTATGCAAAAATGGCTATGACTTGATTACTGTTGAGTACAGATTTCTTCTTAATCTAGCTGGTAGCTTTTTTAAAGTCGTGTGCAAATGACTGAAAGTAACCCATGACTGACTGTCTTTGCTTTAGAAACGGCATTATTAACATAATACAGAGAACACTTGCTCCGGGCCGTACAGCAGCATGACAAATAACATTCCTCGGTTCTTTGATTTCTAATTTCCACATGCACACATACTTATACTTATACTTGACTATCATAAGCCCCTTTCAGAACTGCACTAAACTCAGCAAATGTGCTGGCAATTTTACATGTCAGCTTCATGTATGAAAAGTACCCTGAGAGGTTGTTTTTTGCGATCTTGTCAAAGGAAAAAAAAATCTATCCCATTCGTCAGATCATCTGCTTCCTAACTTTTACACTTTTATTTTTGCGAACTGCTTGCAGCATGAAACTCCTGCAAAGTGTTTTGCACAGTCCACAACAAGTGAATAAAATGGGAATTGGAATGGAATGATTTAATTAACCTTTAAACAGATCTATAAATACCATTACAGAACCCATATATTAAAGTGGCTATTCACAAGTAGATTCCTCTTAAGACATTCCAAACATTCTAAAAGAGAAACACACGACACACTATTCCTGTTGTAAGTGAGTGTGAGATTATGTCACCACTATATCTTTTGTAGGTCACCAGTGCTCACCTGTAGAACTGAAAAGCTAGGTGAGATGGTCTTACCACAGTGTACAACCGAGGGAAAATCCACTCCAAGCTGGCAGCGCATTAACAAGCTACCTTAGCAGGAGGTTAAGTCCCCTGCAAGGCACCTCTGATCCGTTTAAATCCCCACTGTGGGCTAATAGTAGCACTCAGCATGTATACTAGGAGATGGATGAACGAGGGGATCCATCGTATATGTGACAGTGTGTGTGTGTGTGCATGTATATGGAAGGCAGTGACCAAGATAGGTGTCTTGTTTCTAGTGTACTACTGGAATCTGAATCCCACCTGTTTGTGTGATCCCTAAAACTGTTTGTCTGTGGTGTTGTTAAGGATTTGGTTCATGTCTTACCGGTACAGGTGAAACACTTGACGTGAAAATGGGTGTCTTGTACTCGTACCACCTCTCCTTTGCATGCTTCCCGACATCGCTGGCACCGGATTGGTCCAGAACTTCGTTCACTGCCCGCAGAACCTTGGTGATAAGCTGCTGAAGACAAAAAGGAACATTTAGGATTGTATTTCTGTGTTCAAGCTGAATTGACTGTCTGCCAAGCAACAGTTAGTGTTGCTGTGCGTGTGAAGCTTTCCATTCGTGCACATATGCAATTTAAAATGAAAACGGTGGAGGATTACCACTTGAAATCCTTAGTAATTGTTTAAACAATGGGTTCTTTCTGACAGTGGTAGACAAAAGCAAGCTTCTCATTTCTAACTAACAATAGTCTATTTTGCCAGCTGAAATGACAACTGTCTGTGGCAGATTTAAGCATATTAGATACCTAGCTAATTAAACTAATGTTAGCTTCATCAGTTGGTTGAAAATTATGTCTCTGGCTAACTATATAATATTTCAAGTTGATTTGTCTTAAAACAAAAGCTCTTTAAAACTATCTCAAATGTCCATTTGATAGCTACATACAGTAGGCCTACACACATTTTGCTAAAATAATGAGGCTAAAGCTAACAGGTCCCTATGAAAAGTCAGCATCCCCAAGTTTGAGAATTGCTGGAGCGCAAATCCACTAAATCAAATAGCCTACTACACACAGTGGATGTGCTAGTCATGCATGAGGCTTATTTTTAACAGAACTTATAACCCAATGTAAAATAAATATACATGGCTTTGGAAGTAATGCTGTGTTAGGTTACTACTGTAGGTAGTATTCTATTTAGCTGTTAACACACTGTTTGATCCATTCCAATTCTATTCTTCTCTTGTGTTGTAGAGAGACTTAAAAAAAACTATCCAAACTCTTTATACACTCAATATTGCTTTGACTAGAGCTCCATGTACACCGTTTCAACATGCAGAGAAGGCCAAAGCTTGACAGGCCTGCGGTTGCTAAGCTATGTTTGGACAATCATAGCACAAATAGATTCACCTTATTTTAACTGGTACACAATAAAAATATAATTGGCCAATCATGTAGACTGAAACAAATACAGTATCTTGCCTACTAATGAAGTTAAACATCAGCATTGTTAATAACATAGACACGACCCGACAAACCATAATCAACATTTCTAAATAGCACAGAATGAAGTCTCCAACCACAGTGAGTGTAGCACCCACTTTACTGGACATAATAACATTGCATTAATTCAAAATGGATTTCAGCATTAAGCTCGACACAACTTTTCATATTCAAAGGCTTCTCCAATGTATGCAGCAATCTATCACTGGAACAGGGGCTCTGAGTACACTACAGACTGTACTGTATGCAGTTCACACAATAAGATCAGTGTGTAGCTCTGTCAACACTTGTTCTGAAGCTGCGAGGTCTGACACCTATGTAAGCTCCAGGCTTTCTCTCCCACTGTCTCTCTTTTTCACACACTCATACAGGCTGACACACACACACACACACTGCTGCGTCAGGTTAGAAAGTGAATGGATCCCCTTACCTTATTATGCATTAGCTTCCATGTCAGGCTCCTTCAAGCCCGACAGCTATTTCACATTGTCAGGAAGGCAAGTTCTCACAGATGGCCTTCACACTAATGGAATAAACGCTTTCACGAGCAAAAAGGTCAAAACGATACATTAATTTGATCTTAAATGAGTTGAGAAAATGAATTTATCTAAGACCTCTTAGGCTATTACAGGCTCGTTAATGGTCCATCTTCTCCTCAAGGCTATAAACAGATTCGCTGGCATCCACGAGCAGAGACAACTAGCCTCCAAATACTCAGACTGTGCCAGAGCAGCTGGGTTCTTATTTTGCTCCATCTTTCTCAAGGAGCATCTGAGTGGTCCTACACTCTGTGGAAGGGGTATAATGGCAGGGTAACCAGCTGGCCTTACTGCCTACCTGACTAGCTGACTGAAGGACTTTGCTTCTTCAGTCAGAGCCACACCAGCATATGTGCTGGTATGACAGAGATACTGATTCCATTTCACTGGATGAAGCCCAATGGACACGCAGCACTTAAAAAGTCTAACAGCCTTACACGCTTCACAGCCCGAGCACCCTTTGCGTGCTCCGAGTTTGATGACAGTATATGCAGTGTAGGCTGCAGTATGTACTGAGTATGAAGCACGGATGCAAAAAGTCATAATGTATGTTTATTTTCCTGCTCAGGACAGGAGTGTGGGTACTGGAAATATGCAAGCATGATTATGTCCCACTCCCAATCTCCCACACTCAAGTCTCTGTTAGTTCATTGTTTCCATCACAATGCTGGCAGCACCAGCGGGACCCACTACCCTGCCTGATAAATTCCCAGCTACTGCTTCAAATAAAGACACTCCCTTGGAAATGGGGTTTTGTATGGGTATGTGTGTGTGTGTGTTTGAGAGAGACCAGGCAAAGGAAAGCAATCTTTCTTTGTCGTAAAAAAACAAATGAGCACCACTGATCCCATCAGGTGTGAATGAGAGATAATGGGAACTAATGACAGTACATGCAAGCCTGTGCCAACTGGAAACACACAGGACATTTATTTACAACGCTGACCTTCTCAAATTGAGCCAAAATAAAACTCTGGCACAGTACATCATCTGCTTTCACAGCCCAGCCAAGAAAGTTGTACACGAAACAACATATATTATAATTCAATTGAAATGTATTTATATAGTGGCAGTTCATTGCAGAAGTATATTTTTCCACTTTTCATATAGAGCACATCTAGGCTGTACTCTTTGTATTATTATTAATATTTACAAACAACCCCCCACCAAAAAAAACTAAACTAAACAAAACAAAAAAACAAGCAAGCTGCTGAAGTAGGATTATTAGACAGGGGTGCAGTGCATATATGAGGTGCTTACTAAACTTGTTGAATGTGCATTACAAAAAGCTCCACCTCAGCAGAGAATCCAGGTACTCTGAACTGAAGCATTATGTAACTCTATCAAATTGTGTCAGAGCGTTCATTCTCATTGAACGCAGCCAAGCCCTCCCTGTCTAAACCCATTACAGAGTTCTTGAACAATCCTCCATCCTCTCACATGCTGAGGTGTTGAGTCATTCTTCTAATGATAGCCACAAGACTACAGGTGTAATCCACTGACTGCAAATCAGTGGAGAGCGCCTCGGGAAAATAAGGCCTCCAGCAGACAGGTGATAAGAACAGGGCCAGGGTCAGAGAGGCCGACAACATCCCTAGGGACTGAGAGGCTGCAACTATTTCTGCCCCTGACCTGACAGCCCCGGGAAAGAACATGCTGGGAGCTCAGTCACAAGGGATGCTGGGAAATCAGTGAGTGACGAGTAGGAATCAAAGAGAAGCAATGCAAAGATGATATGGATTTAAAATGAATTATTAAGAGTAAGTAAAAAAATTGTTTTACAATCAAAGTTGACTTTTGTTTTACTTTTGCTTGTAGTTTTATGTTCTTTTTGACACACGTGTGCTTATCGGTTGTATTATTTCATTACATAGATTTTGGGACAACTTTAAATCAGCATGTTGTGTGCAGAGACCACAGGTCTAAGTCAGGTTTAAAGCAAGCCTAATTCAACCCAGTCACACCAAGCCACTTATATGTAGCTTACATTTTCACAAGGTAATGCGAAGAGAATCATCAGTATTACTACATTCGTGTTTCCCTATAAATTAACATGCATTAAAACAACCTTTGTATTTTATGGGAACAATACACTATAAAATCAGCACTGTATACTATACATTGTCACAACAAAGCAACACCATGTCTTCCCTGCCCGTAATCAAATGCAGCCAATGATCAGGTGTCTCCTTGCCGTTCCCCTTCCCCATCCCCTCTCTTTATCTCTCTTTGTCTCTGTCAGACCGTGGCCAGGAGCATTCATCAGAGCAAAGAAGGTATCCAGTGGTATCAAAAATATTCTGTCACTCTATGGAAAGAGAGAAAGGTCAGACTGCTACTGACAATCTGAATGATCACTCAGTCCTACCAGAAGCCAAGGTCACGGAGATGGCAACCTTGAGGATATATCCACAATGGTGTAACTTTAGGCAGATTGAGTGCTCTTTTTATTCTATTAATTAAAATTAGATTTTTTTAAAGAGCTTAGAGATTAAATGGCCACTGAATGATATTTCCATGCAGTATCCTGTTCAAATCCAAGTGAACACCAGTGTAGTAACCACAATAACTGTAGCTGCAGATGAACAAGAAAAACATGTGCCTCATATTGTGTTGGGCTGTAAATACATAGCAGTTGTGCATGACTGTGTACGTGAATATTCAGGTGCACATCCCAGCATCTGTGTTTGCATCTGTGCATCTTTGTCTCCCCTTTGTTCTTGAGTGATAAATGGTATTTGGCTCTGGTTTGGACTGTTCACCAGATGAGGCAAAAGAGCAGGAATCATATATGATACGGAACCCCTCCCTGTCTACCCTTGTTCTGACTCATACCTCCCCCAAAACACAACTGACATCGAAGCAGCACAGAAAATATCCATCATTTAATCTAGTACTGTCCTTTATATTTAAACACTTATTTGTTGCCTATGTAGGACACTGCCAGTGGTTCACTGGATCATTCTGTCCATACATAAACACTTTGGTCCAGACCAAGATGTTGTATCTTTATAACTACTTGCCCCCGCCTGGCTTAACTATTCCTGTATTCTGCTTCTGGACCTGCTCGGCTCAGCTTCCCACACTCTGGACTCTCAGCTACAGTTCCCCCCTGCTCTGCAAAGCAGCCACCAACCCGGTTCTGCACACATCTAGTTTTCCGCTGTGCCTCACTCTTCCCGGCTGAATATCTCATCCCTTCAACCCTGCAATAAATATTCGTCTTTTATCTAACTCCAGTCTCCTCTCTTAGTCCTGCACTTGGGCACCCCCTTCACACACACACACACACCATGCTGCTGCTGCTTACTAACGAAGCTTCGAAGCTCAAAAAATGGCATTAGGACCAGCCCTACAATATACATGAGACTAGCTCAGCAAAAAGGACCAAACTTCAGGGAGACTGTAACTACAGCTGGTGTTGATTTCCATACTTATCATGCATTCATACCATATGTCTTAATCATTAGGTTGCATGAGATGCAACATGTCTTTTTAAAGACAAAATGG